CCTGGAGCTCACTGTCCAGCTGAGCTGAATAGATCAGCTCCAGGTTCAGTGAGAGACCCTATCTCCAACAGATAAGGTGGAAGGTAGATGAAGAAGACTGGATAGCAGCCTCTGGACTTCACACACATATTAAGCAATCCATGTTTATATGTACACACACGAGAGCTTTTCATTCAACTGGTGGCCATGGAGCTGAGTTTGAAAGCTGTGTGGGATTTTAGTGGTTATACAAGGAAGGAAAGAATGACCCAGAACACAGAACAGACAAAGGTACAGAAGTGGTAGCAATTCATTTGTGTTTGAGAAACAGCAAATATTCCTGGGGGTGCTGTTGCCTGATATGTGAGAAGCAGAAAGGGAACAGATGAGCTGGGCTGCGCATTTTGAAAGTCCCTGGATGCTGAGATGAAGGCTCTCAGGTCTAAATAAACTACAAAAGGAGGTGGCTCAGGCCATGGAAAGTGCCATCTGGAAGAATGTAGCTGGCAAGCTCAGTGAGGCCATTCCACAGGGGTGTGCTCAGGAGACCTGTGCCAGAGCAGATGAGAGAGGAAGCAGATTTGCAAAGGGCAGGATAGACAAGGGTAATAGTCTTTTGAATTGTGCCGTAGTCTCTTCTATTTAGGTTGAGCTTCCACTGAGTTCTGGAATATACTCACAGCTGTAATAATCCTGTCATTTTACCCTAGTACGAGGTCAGGGAGGAGGTTTGCAGATAACAGCAAAGAAGTAAAAGTAGAAATTGTTAGATTTTTTTTCTTTTTCTAAATCCATTTAGAAGGGGAGGAGGAAGGATGTAAGACGAAACCAGGAAACGAAAATGATGATGACCAGAACTTGAACGAGGGGGAAACATCTAGAAGAGAGCTGGAGCTGGCCGGCATGGTTCTGGGACCTGTTTTCTATGCTGAGCGTGTATGCATGCTGTCTTTGCATGCAACTTGCTGATTGGCACTTTTGTCGGTGCAGCAGATTGACAGGGCTACAGACCATTCTGTCTCAGAGATGCTCTGAAGGATCACCTTAATCAGCAGGGTCCTAGGTCAGCAAAGGGGCCTCAGAGGTGGCTGTGGACAGTGAGATAGGTGGTAGGAAGCCTAGCTCCAGCCATGGAGGCCCTTCTCAGTCCTCCCTGTAAGTCAGTGTTTGCACACGCTCTTTCTGGTGCTCAACAGTTTTCTCCTTCCCCGCAACACACCCATGCTCACTCGTTTCTTAGTTTTGAGCTAGATTATCATTTCCTCTGGAAGTCAACCTTCCCACCCTCAGTCTGAGCCCCTTGCTGTCTCAGTGCATATCACAATTCTGTACCTTTGCTTTCATTTGTGAGACTTTTTTTTTTCTACTGATCTCTTTCTCCAAAAGACTTCTTGGGGCAGAGACAGAACAGACTTTTATTTGCTTTTGATGAAACCCATTTCCACTAGAGTTCTGCACATGTTGACACTCAAGACATTTTTGTGAGAGGCAAGCTCCCATTGCAATGGTCCTGTTACTTTTCGTCTTCATTTTGAGTGTTCCCAGTCCCTTCAGCAGCAGTTCTCAACAGGTGTGGGTCTCAGCCCCCACCGGGGTTGCATATCAGATATCCTGCATATCAAATATTTACATCATGATTCACAACAGTAGTAAAATTATAGTTATGAAGTAGCAACAAAATAATTTTATGGCTGGGGGGTCACCACAACATGAGGAATTGAATTAAAGGGTCAAACTACTGCTTTAAGGATGGTAGGACTAGGATTCTGATTCCCTCCAGGGACCTGTTACTGAGGCTGGTTAGTGTCACATGGTGTTTCTGCACTTCCACTATCAAGACTTCACCTTCAGGGCTCACAGTCAATGCCTTATTCAGTCTTTCTCCAATATCAAGTCACTCTTCCTCTACAAGTCGTCTGTTGTCAAACAAGGCACATTTCCTTCCTCATATTTAAAGAGTGGGTTCCCAGGGTTACAAGACAAAACTGCTCTGGGGTCACTCCTTTTAGGTTCTTGTTCCCTCTGCACCACTTCCTCAATGCCTCAAGTCCTCTCTTCATTAGAATTGCCCCTGTCACTGCAGCAAGGTTTTGTTTGCTTGTTTTTAATCATCACTCCAGTAGAATCTTCCATCACTTCTATCCTTCACCCACACCGGTCCTTCTCTATGCTAGCTGCCTCAGTAATTTTCCCAACTATACAGCCTGCTCCTGTTATTTATTGGTATAGGGACTTCAATTAACTCAGCTCTACCCTGACTGCCTGTAGCAGTGCCTGCAAATTGGCATTCACAGGCTACATATGGCCTACAGATGTTTGGGTTAGCCTGTGGAGTTGGGGAGTGGTAGGAGAGGATGGGAGGGAGAAGGGAACTGGGATTGTCATGTAAAACAATCCTGTTTCTAATTCAAATAAAAAAATTCGAAGAAAAAAAAAAGTAAAAAAAAAAAAGCTGAAAAAAGGAAAGTAAAAATTCTCTGTAAAATTAGAGAAAATTTTGAGAATAATGTATCTTACTAAGGTGTATTATCCAGTGTTTAAAGTCCTCTGATAACAGGACAACCAAAAGGCAATAAATTAAAAAAAAAGAATTAACCAGTCTCCAGCAGTTAAAATTGGAGATGCACATATAATTTTAGAAGCTTAACTTCTCATAAAATCATCAGGGAACCAGCCATACCAGAAATGTGAAAATAATAAATTAGAGCAGCATAGAAGAGTTCTTCTTGGGACACGTGGTCTTGAATTTACCAGTCTCCACACTCCCCAAGTTCTCCTGGTTTTCAGGCTAAGTGGTCAACTGTCATCTATCAACACCAGCAGTGTTTCATCCCACAGTGCCATTTCCTAGTGCTAGTTTCCTTGCCTCATGAAGGCCCCAATCTTGCTATCCTTGTATGGTTTGTACGAATACTCAGACTGGGGAAATGGCTAAGTGACTAGAGGATTTGCTGTGCAAACATGAGTACTGTAGTTCAAATCAACACTTATATAAAAAAGCTGGTATAGCTGTATGCAGTTGTAACTCCAATGTTGTTGTAGGGTAGAAACAGGAGAATCACTGAGACTTGATCACTGCCAGCTAGTTACAAACTATGGAGAGCATGAGGTCTAGTGAGAGAATCTGTCTCAAGTGAGTAAGCCAGAACATCTGATATTGTCCTTCCTGTTGATCGTGGGAATCAACCCACATTGGGTGCCAATTGAAGGCGGGGATTAAATGAGTCCACAAGACCCAAGATAAATGATTAACAGGTATTTATTAGGGAACCACTTACACAATTAATAGTAAATAACAGCCACAGTCTTCCTGCTCCTGAAGATGCAGTTTCTGCCCTTCCAATGAATGCTCTGACTGCAATGGAAGAGAGAGCCAGCCCCTCCTCTTCCTTATTAAGGGGTCACATCTGCACACCTGAAGCCATGACCCTATGATGCAGTCACCACCACAAGTTCACTGGTGAAGCAAGATACCACTACAATACACCTGTGGGGGTATGTGGATTCACACATACAACACATGTGTGCATGTGCATGCAGGCACACACACACACACACACACACACACACACACACACACTTACATAGCACTTAAAAGTCACAGATTACTTTTTATGTGTGTAGGCTGAAAACATGGATATTTTAAATTTCCATTTTCACAATTCCCTACATTTTCTCCTGTAAACATACTTTCAAGTAGAGGAGGTGCCCACTTATCTTCAGCTGTGGATGCTAACCAGGAGCACTTGGCTCCCTTTGTACTATTTGCTCACACTACTGGGTCCACTATCTAAGTAGGTCACTTCTTATCTCATAGTATCACTCCCAACTCATGAATTAAAATAAATTCAAATCACTCTTCACTTTCACATTTTGCAATTGTCTTATTGAGGTAAAACGTACAGATGTGTAAGCATTTAAAGGATATTTCATGTGTTTTTTGAGTATATTTTAGTTAATTCTTTTTGGTTTCTGCATGAAATAATGTATTCCATCATGGTATCTTCACATATTATTGTTAATGAATGTTTATAAAGAGACTCCTTTTCTGGGTGTGCTTATAATTCCAGAACTTTGGTGCTAAAGCCAGAGGTTTGCAAATTCAGTACAGGCCTGGACTATACAGCAAGTTCTGGGCCAAGAAACTCAAAACAGACAATAACTAAAAGAGACAAGGACATTCAACAATAACAGACTATTATTTTTTAAGTAGTGTCTGGTATGAGAGAGCTCACCTACTTGTATTAGCTCATTTGATCTTTGCTATCTAGAGAGGCAGACAGAAGTGCACATAGGAAACAGACTGCTTTTGGTTTCCCAGCTAATGAATGACCACACTGAGAGGTGAACTAAGTCTCCCTATTTCCTAAATTCCCAACTGGCCCATGGGAAGCAGAGAGGCAGACAGCTGGAGACAACACTGCTGTGAAAGAGGTGCGTGCAAACCCTAGGCCTTCTGCATGTGAAAATCAACTCTCAGTCACCTCCCAACTTGGTTCCTTTCCCCTAGACCTCTACTCCCCCTGCTGTCACTTTGGTAATTTCTCCCTTTACTTCTCAAGTTTGCAGTTAAACAGTCCATGCAATGGCTCATTTATCAGTTTGATCAATAGTTACTATGATGGAGAAATGCAGGGCTGGCTTCCTTCCTTTGTTGGGGCGCAGTAACAGAGCCACAGAACTGGGGACCTGAAATGTTCTATTCATGCACATGATGGTGAAAGTCAGAGGTAGAGTCCTGTAGATTTGAGGGTGTCGGTATCTTTGAAATTCCCATGTACTACTCATTTCAGTCCCTGTGCATATAGGGAAAGGCCCTCAAGTCATCTTGCTCCTTCTTCCTGCCATGGATAGTGAACCTGAATCTCAGAAGAGAAAAATGTTTGGGGGGAGGATATGGTTGGCATATGACAGCCACCAGTAGAAACCTATTTTCAGGACTCATTCCTAATCTCTTGTAGTCCACATACCTCTGGTTTAGGCTTCTGGCTTGTGCTGCTCATGCGCATTGGAGCTATTGCCTCTCAGCTCCTCTTTGGCTTTGATGATGCAGGTGCTGAGGTCTGAGCATTTCTTGCTGGATATCTTGATGATCATGCTGGGAGCGAAGAACAGTTGGCACTTAACCTCTAGTTCCTTTCAGCATCCCCGGACAAGCTGTTTCCCTGATCTGAAATCCAAGCTTTAGTCCTATGACTCTTCCTCTTTCTGGGATCTGTCACCCAGATGAGAATGTCCTATGCATGGCATCTCTCTGGCAGCCTCTGCATTTCCCTTTTGCTCTCTCATTCTTGCTGGTGGTAGTATCTTTATTCATGACTTTCTCAGCCTTTTGTCTATAGAACCTTCAGACATCTGTGTAGCACATCCCTTGCATTAAGTGCCTTTTATTTGAAACAACCAACACACCTTCTCATCTTTGAACTCAACTTCAAGCAATACTTAAAAACTTTTCAATTTTTATACCTTTTTTACCTTATGAATATCCATAAAACCACAAAATAGGTCACATCTGAAAAATAAGATGAGGCATTAGCATTCATTCAAGAGGTAATTACTCAAGAACTATTTGGGTTCTGAAACATGGTGACAAGTAGCCAGGACTACCGAGAGTTTGAAGTCTTACAGGGAGGGCAGGTATGATAAGGGCTGTAATGATGGGGGCACTGGGAAGACATGAGCAAGGCCTTGAATCTGAAATGATGAAATGGTGGAATGCTAGGATGCACTTACAAAGTAAGATGTCACTGGAACCTGAGAATCAAGTAGGAATTAGTTTGTCAAACAAGTTTGTGTATTACAGGAGGCTGGTAAAAGAGACATTGAGGGCAGTGATGATAGATAAGAAAACATGTCAAAGCCTGTTCAGGTGGAGTTGTTTCTTCACTGAAGTCCTTACCCCAATCAGAATGTGATCTTATTTGTAAATAAGGTTGTTGCATATATAATTAGTTAAAATGTGGGCATAGTAGAATAGGGTAGGCTTTTCATCCAAAATAATTGGTATCCTTAAACGGGGGCCAGATCTGGAGATAGACAAATACACAGAGGCAGAGTATCATACAAGTAAGAGGTTGAGAATGGAAGGATGGATTTACATTCCAAAGAACCCCACATGCTGCCAAAAAACTATAAACGCAAGGAATAAAACCCACAGAACAAGTTAGATTTTTCCTCCTTGGTCCCTAGAACAAGTTAGTCCTCATAACACCACTATTTCAGACTCAGACTGTGGGATAAGACACGTTCTCACAGTCAGGAGGCAGAGGCAGGCGGATCTCTGTGAGTTTGAGGTCAGCCTGGTCTCCAGAGAGAGTGCCAGGATAGGCTCCAAGGCTACACAGAGAAACCCTGTCTTGAAAAACCAAAAAAAGGGGGGTGGGGGTGGAGAGATGGCTCAGAGGTTAAGAACACTAACTCTTCTTCTAGAGGTCCTGAGTTCAATTCCCAGCAACCACATGGATGGCTCACAACCATCTGTAATGAGATCTAGTGCCCTCTTCTGTTGTGCAGGCATACATGGAGGCAAAATGTTGTAAGCATAATAAATAAATCTTAAAAAAAGACACATTCTCATCTGGGCCACACAGTTTGTGGTACTTTGTTGAGGCAGCAGCTGATACAATCCTACAAAATAACATAAGAACTAATGGTGAAGACTGCTACATGGCTTATTAGTTACAGTTTTCACTCAGCCAGTGCTTTTATGATGTCAGCATCTGGGCTTAAGGGTATTAGCCCGTTTAACCTTCATGACCACTAGAAGAGGCAGCTACTATCTTATTTGTGATTTTCACAAATAAGAGTGAATATTGGAAATTTAGATGACTTGATTCAGGTTACTCATTTCATATTTGATGTTAAGGTTTCACTTTGAATCTAGCCTGAGAATCAACCATTAACATCATTACCCCATGAATGTGGTTTTTATCTTGAGAGTAATACCCATATTTAGAAACTTTAAAAGATTCAGGTTACTTGAAGTCTAATTTATAAATGATAAAATGTGCTCTCTTTTTGGCTGGATTTTATATGGAATTTGACACCCAAATAATGTCATCATCATTGGAGGCTTTTCAGGAGAGCGGTGACACATATAGTTTTGATTTTAGAACTGTCATTGTAGCTACAGTGTAGAGAATGAACTGGACAAAAGGATGAGTGGACATCAATTGTTATTAGAAACCATTTCTCTTGGAGACTTCAACAAGGAAACATGGGTCAGCTACAATTAGAAAGATCTGTGGATCATGTGAGTTCCTTTAATAAAGACTCCAAAAGAGTCCCCAATTAGATGGTAATAAGAATGAAGCTTTGGCTGATCACTCAATTAGGCTTAGTATGGTTAGCAAATTCAACTGAATTATGTGAATTAAATCATTGTGAGCTTATGTTATAAAACAGGGTCTCCATCTATAGCAGTAGAAGGAGAGGTTTAAATAAAGCTTCCGTATGTAAACCTAACAAATGTCAATCACCCTCTAGAGTCACTTACTTGCCATGGGTCTCTTGAGTGTTTAATGCCTATGACAATGAATCCTGTGTACCCTGGGTATCTCATTCCTTGTGCCTTCTTTTAATTTGTCCCCTGGAAGTTCTCTTCAGTAGACCTTCCCAAGGACTCTAGATGAAATGTGGTGTTCTTTCCAAGACACTCACTTGACAATCAGTCTCTTACTCTGCTTTATTTTCTTCATGTTCACCCTTTCAGTATCCCCCAAACTCCATGAAGGTATGGCTTTTGGTAATTACTTTATTTTCAGTGTCCTGGATCATACCTGATGATCAGTAATGAATGAAGCCATGTTTCAACATTGACAGACTTTGATGCATGTGGTCTAGTTTCACATTTTTTTGTTAAGGAAATTAGGCCCATACAGGTAAGGATGTTTGCTTATGGTTCAATTTCGGCACAGAAAAATGTGTTAAGGAGATGGCTTTCAAAAACCACCACACTGGATTTACATGTGAATGCTAACACTTGGGTAAATTGCTTGACTTCAGTGAACTGTGAGCCAGAAATGAGACCATTCAGCTGTAGTATTTGGTGAAGGGGAACTTGTACAAAGTAAATTCTCCATAAATATTAGATGTTGCTATTTCTTCATGAGAACCCCCAGCATTCTTCATACATTTCTTGGCTTCAGGAAAGCATAACTCATCTCTCACTTGAGTTTTAAACTATAGATGAGGGAAAATACTACAAGATCTGAGAATTTGTTGTGGGGGATGGAAATGGGTTCCTGTGAGGGGGAGACTCATATATGGAAAGATTCTGTCCTCTCCCGCATTAAGACCTAGTTTCTTCATCTGTAACATTGGCAGAACTCATTCACAATATCCACAATATGACTACCCCTCAAAATGGAAGTAGGATGCAATGAATGGTCCATGCCTTGTAGAAAGGAGATGTTAAAAGAAGGTTATCTGGTATTGTATCTCTTCTTTTCCTCCTTTAGCAGTAGTGGCCTATTTTGAAGTTCATTTCTTTCCCAAATGAATGACCACTGCATATCTACTAACATGCCTGCCCCTGTGGCATAGCTTTGTCTCTGAATGTCTAGATGTGTTGGTTGTCTATACTTTGTTTTTTAAATTTATTTTTTTGTTGAATATGTCTGCTTGTCTATGTGTGTGTGTGTCTGTGCATGTGTATGTAGGTGCCCAAGAAGGCAATAAGGGGGTGGTAGATGCCTTGGAGTTGGACTTATTAGATGATTATAAGTTGTTCCTTTTGAGTGCTGGCAGATGAGCTTAGATCCTCTGGAATAGCATCAAGTACTCTAACCACTGAGAAATCTTCCTAGCCTGTATCATTGCTTTTTTTGAGCTGAAGAAGGTGTTCGTTGGATTCTCTTCAGATACTGTGTTCTATCAAAGATCAAGGCTAGCTTCTTCTGTGTCACTATCCCAGCTTCTGGTGGCCTACTGGTAATCTTTTGGTGTTCCTTGGCTTAAGGTTTATCACTTTGATCTCCTTCATTGCATGAAGCATTTTGGTTCATGGGACATGGTTCAACCCCTAAAAACAATCCTTGGAGCCCTACATAAACTTTATATTGTGGAAAATGTACACTGTGTGAATATATGTCACTATGATTGGTTTAATAAACAAGCTGACTGGCTAATAGCTGAACAGGAATTATAGATGGGACAACCAAACTAGGAGAATGATGGGAAGAAGAAAGGTAGAGTCAGAGGAGATGCCAGCCAGCCACCAAAGAAGCAGGATGTGTAGAAAATAAGATAACAAGCCATGAGCCATGTGACAAAGCATTTATAAGAAATATAGGTTAATTTAAACGTAAGAGTTATGTAGTAACGCACCTGAGCTATTGGCAGAGTGTTTGTAATTCATAGTAAGCCTCTGTGTGATTATTTGGGACTGGCAGCTGGGATTAAGGAAGAAACAGCCACCTACACCCCTGTGTTAAGGTTCCAGGCATATTAGATATACACAGTCTCATCCTAGGCATATTGGACATACATTGCCTTGTCCCAGCTCATCCTCTGACAAGTTATTATTTTTTAGTAAAGACACCTTTACATGTCCAGGGGTTTACACTGTCAATATGTCCTTGGGACAGGGACATGGTTCAACCCCTAAAAACAATCCTTGGAGCCCTACATAATAAACTTGAGTCTTCCATACAATAAATCCAAATATGAACCTTTGGTTCTAGGTTCTCATAGAATTAGGCTCCCTGTTCCTGAGTGTCACAGGTCAATGAGCATAGCAAGAGATTTCATTTACTTCCCATCACAGGCTCATGTTACTCTTGTGTCCAAACAAAAGGCTCTTTCCCTCATGCTGGTTGTCAATGTTCTTTATCCACCTAGTACTTCAACAGTTGATTTATTGAAACTATATGCCACACAGATTCCTAAAAGATTAATCTTTGACTCAGTTATTTTCATGAAAACTGGAATCATTATAAATTCTAGGTTTACAAATAATTATTCAGTTGCTATTCACTTCTTCATGACTCCATGACCCAATCTCAGGAGAACTGACTGATTGATTTGTTTTATTAGTGAGAAACAAGGATAGGCATCTCAGCTATAAATATTTACAGGCATCTGCTGCATCCCTGGCA